TTTTCACGTACAGTAAGTAAGCATATGAAAGAATAAAGAAGCTAATTAACTGAAAAAATTGTAGAAAAATATGTGCAACTATGTGGGTGTTCTTGCTCCTCGAACTCTATCAGAATAGGGTAGATATGGCTTTATGTCGATCACAAGCTGTCCACAAACATCAAAATGCATGCATGCATGCATACCCTAAGCCCGTGGTCATAACCGAAAATATAGCACTTCCCACCACAAGGAATTAGAGAAATTGTCTACTGTTCCATCAACAAGATCAACCCCCCGAAAGTAGAATGGCACGCCCATCCACTCCCTCCACCTAGAAATCAACACTCAATATGTAACCAGTAGAATGGATTTATGATTCTCAGCCAATTTGTCCCCATTAGGAGCTTCATGTGAGAGCACCATAAATTCAGAAAGATAAAAAACAAAAACCTACTTCTTCCCCAAAACAAGATGGCCGACTTAAATACAGGAAGACTTTTTACAGTTCTAACGTACCGAGTAACTATTTGGAGATCACTTTGATTTATTAGGCTTCAACCCAAAATAAATCTTTTTTTTTTCCAAGATGGTCGATTTCACGGTCCCCTACACGACATCTGGGGTGTCCATGGTGGTGCCGTTGAAGGACGACCGGAGTAATACGCATAGCCCATTTGACTGGGACGCTACGGAGTAATAGTCACCGGGGCCTTCGTCTTCACCGGTTGTGTCGTGTGGATTCTTAAGGCCCGAATCAACGACGACTTCCGGGGCCAGTTGGCAACCAGATTGGCACCGCGTTCTACTTAATCTTCTTCACACTGGTCTTTTCACACAGTGCGTTAGCCTCTCTCTCTCACGCACACACACACACACTTCTTAGAAGCACATAACCTACGAAAATTCATTAACAATAGAGGTATATGGAGTAAATGAGGCTTTAACCACAGCCACCAGAAGGGAGAGGAAGAGAGGACGCCAGAACCCTGATTTCAGTCGCCGGAGAGAAGAAAAAGGAGTTTCCCTAACTGATTTACCTCTCACTTTTTCTGTCCCCGAGCCTGCCCCTTTTTAATACCTTCATTACACAGGAGCCGGAGTGATTTCGTACCTGAAAACCCCGTCCATAAAATAAAAGAAAAAGGGGTAGATGAGGTCCGGACAAAACCTCTCCCAGGAAAGGGGTTGACCGAGTCACCCTTACCCGAGGAAGACGCCAACTCCTACGTGTTCAGGAAGTAGGCTAAGGATCAGATGAGATCGAAAAAGAGGGGATTCTTTGGGATCTTCATGTGCCTGCGGGAGGAGCCACAGAGACCCAACGGCTTCACCTTTCACCCATAGATCAGGATTTGGAATGACGTCCCCGTACACCGGTGGATATCCGACACCGTTCATTTCAATCAAACGGAAGGGGGAAGTCCAGTCGCGACTCTTGCTAGCCCTCTCGAACGTGCGGCAGTTTCTTGTGGAGAGATTACCGGGAGGAGGTAACTTGCAGATGAAAAACATGTCGGCCAATGGTGGGATGGTCCCATCGGCGGGAGAAGACCACCACAAGGGAGGTCAATTGATATTTAATTGTGGAAGGGCTTTCAGCCCCTCAGCCCTCCCTGGACGTATGTAGAAAGTGTTGATCGACTACAGGTAGCGACTGCATCTTCGTTGAGCTCTACAATTCCATTTGCAAATCCCAACAAGAGTTTATACGCAACAAGCATTTTCTATTCTGTTAAAATTAAATGATGTTCAATTCCGTCTTATGATGTAATGACAGTTTTTTCCACATTGTTCTTTATCAGGACATGACAAGGGTTACACACCTTGTTTATCGTAATATAATATTACGAATGGTTATACATTCGATTTACTAACGGCAATTGGTGGGCGAGCGGTTGCTGGCGCATTTAAGCATTAAAAATTGTGAGGTAACCCTTACGTAGAGACTTCTGCTGCACGCAGCTTGCTTGGTAATATAACCAATGATATAGACCATGTCAACGGCTTGTGTGCGGGTATTAGATACAGCCCCATAGACGTCAGCACCTCGCATCGAACCGGAGAGAGCCGAGTGGCCGACAACGCTATCTTCCACCTCCGCCCCGCAATATCAACACAACAAGAGGGGGGGAAACAAAGATATAAGAAACCAGATGAAGACCGGTCGTGCTGGCAGTTCATCTAGCTGCAGCGATGTCTGTCTCAACAACGGCGACATGGAGAAAAGACCCTTGTGGATTCTGTTCTACGCCCTCCTCCCAACAACGGGTACTCTCGAACAGCAGACCCGAAGGTCGGTAGAGACCATCACGGTAAACGTGGAATCCATCCTCGACGTGAAAGACGCCGGTCAGCAAGATGTGACGGGAAAGCATTTCCATGGCTATCGAGGACTTCTACGCCGCGAGTACTAACTACAACAACCAGCTTGGTACTCCACCCCAAGGATGCCAACCGCGATGTCATAGAGTGGAAGCCATTTCTACCCAATTTTTCAGACAGAATGGAAATCTGCTCATTCTGGACGAAGCTCACCACCCCTCACCTAGATGACCCAAATCTTATAATTTCCTCGGGTGCTATGTTGGTTTGTTACGCAAACATTTGTATTTCAAAAAGCTACAAAATTTGTGCGCCAATTGATAGAACTGGATGGTGAGGCAAAAAACTGTTGGAGATATGTGGAGAATGCGGGTTTGTGTGTAAGATGATTCTCTCTCCAGAGAAAGAACGAGAATTTGTGCGACCGAGGACGTAGCGGCAAGACCACGCAGCCCCAGCTGAGGGTCTCAATCCCCTGGAGAAAGGGTTTAACGGATGCTTCAAATTCGACGGAGATTAGATAATTCCGACCGGACACTTCGTAGACACCTTGAGAAGATGATTCAGCACTTAGGAGTTTGATATGACTATATCGATTACAATAGCGTCGAAGGGAACACATCATTTTCATACGACGAGATCTGAGGAAGGTCAATGAAGGGATGAGCGAGAATTCATTTGCGTTAGCTCACCCCTCTTGTTATTTACCTGACTAGAAGGAATTTAGTCAACCTTCAAAAGTTGCGACTTACTCATTCTAATAATTTACGTCTGCTTTCTAATTACCAATTGAAAGTGAGTGGATTAATCTCACGCATTTTAACCATCCAATTTTAGTCTCCCAATTGATGAGGGATCATTATAACGGAGAGGCTCGTGCAGGCCTTCTCCAAAGGCGCCCCTCTTCCCTCCGACGATTCGAGGGTTGTGGAGGTCACGCTAAATTTGACAGCACAGCACGCCGAGGACACGGACGCCGAGCTCGTTAAATCCCATCTCATGTTTTACAGTCTTTCCGGGATGGTTCTTGCCACCGGTATTACTTCCTACGCGGCGCTGCTGTTCAGTCCACTGGCTTCGCTGGAGCCGATTGGTCAGTCCAGCACCGGAACGCCACTGTTCTAACCACCACAGCAAGATGGCGAATTCCCCACCTACGGAACAGTGATCCGAATGAAGAGAAACAAGGACCGGAGACGAAGACGGATCCTGCAACCCTAGGATTTCTTGGATTACTCCTTGATCTGAATTCACAAATGGGGAGTACCACGTATCATCTTCACGAGTTGTTGCACATCTCTGAAGAATTTTTTTTCTTCTTCCTCGGTGTGAAAACTGACGTTTTTCTCGTAGGCTTCATTTGGTTCACATACCTGATGATGGAAATTTCTTCCAATTCTTACCTTGGACACTGCCAACTTACTCGGCTTCCATAGATCCCGTCTACAGCAGTTTCCGATTACGGCATTCTTTCAAGTGCGCTTTTATTCGGTGTAGACATGCCGCTGACACAACATAACGAAGCCTTGTACGCGATTCATGCCCTTTCGTGGGTCAAATGACTTGGGCTCTTCAAACTATTCGACCTCGTGGAAAGACGTAAGCCTATACGTTCTTGTTTAGTTTTTGTATCCTACGCGATCGTTTGTTATACATATGAAACCGGAGAATTTAAAGTGTGAACAAATATGCTACGATTCCGAACCAAGGGACGTATTTGACTTCCACGCCGTCTTCCACGCGAACCTTGATGACGGACTTAGGGACTCGCTTGCTGAGCTCTCGCAGGCAGCGAGGGGCTGGCTGATTCTCGACGTCGGAATGTCCTCCTCGATCACCTCCAGGGGAGAAATTTTATTCTGGCCTGCTCGGGGAAGACCATTATAAACGAAGGCACCCTTCTAAACCGTCACCCTGGTTCTCCCTCCTCGCTTTCCTTTCTCTCGGACTCTGTGACCAATGATCGACTTTGACTTCATCAATTCCACCGTACCGGAAGGTTTGAGGCATAAATCTGGCCTAAATCGTTTGTAAACCAATAATAGTCTAAGAATATGATTTGGGACGAACTCGACCTAATTCATTTTGCTGTCCATGCCTTTGTTTCAAGAGTATGACTGATCAACATAAATAAAGCAGCAAGTATACTTAAAAAATTATGATTTCACTGACTTTGAGTGTAAGTCTCTTAATGTGACGTGTATTTAAACTCGTAGACCAAGATCTTTCGGCAGGTACCACGTGTTTGACCAGAAGAACCACTTCGTTCTCTGTGACTGTTTGGTCTGTGCCGGCCGAAGAAATACTCCAGGAAGAGAATGTCCCATTGAAGTTTAAACCATCGCTATTAAGATGGCGACTGTGGAGAATTCTTCAACGCTGAGGATTGTCTCATGTGGCATCTGGGAAAAAGTTTGTCAGCCTCATCAACGATCAGTTGCTATCAGAAATGGCTGGTCAGCCAAATCTGCCTTGAAGTTGCGTAGGGGTTTCGCCTTTGAATTGTGAAGCCCAAGGACGCCAACACAGAGTTAAGAGGACCCCCGTCCCCAACCCCCCCAACACCCACCTAGCATTAACTTCTGACTTACCATCTCACCCGAAAACGAAGAGATCTCCATTGTCGTTAAGAAGGGCACAATCTCCTCATTCTCTCGTGATAGCTTACTTGGACAGTTTCGCTCATCGGAAATAGAATGGAGCGAAGGACTCTGTTGGTTCTCTTCTCCATTCTCCTCGCCGGGACACCGACCCTCAGCCAGCGGGACGACAGGTCGGAAGCCCTCGTCTCTGTGGACGTGGGTGTTATCCTCGACATGCGGACCCTGGTCGGGAAGATGTGCTGGACCAGCATCTCCATGGCCGTCGATGACTTCTACGCCGCCAACCGCAATTTCACAACCCGGCTGGTGCTCCACCGCAGGGATGGCGAGGCCAGTGTCATCGGCGCCGGATCCGCAGGTAGTCTTCTTCGCCCCTCTCACTCTTCCAAGATTATAGTTCACAGCCACTAAAAAGCCGTGAAAACAAACAAGTTCCCTGCTTCTTCCTCAAACCCTGTTGCTTTTCAAACTGTGTTAACGGAAGTCTTTCAACTTGAGGACGCACCAATTGAGGTTTTACTTGCCAACAAATCAGTCCGTTTGATTAATTCTCAACAAATCTAGTATAGCATCGCAGGTTTACGTGTCTCCCGACTATCTTGAGAATAATCTAACGTAATTTTATGTGAGAGAATTCAGCCCTTGGATTACTGAACAAGGAAGGTGTATTAGCAATCTTGGGCCCTCAGAAATCCGCGCAGGCAAGGTTCTTATCTGACATAGCAGACAAAGCTCGGGTCCCATCTATCTCCTTCACAGCAACGAGCCCCTTCCTCTCGTCTTCAGCTAGGTCTTACTTCGTGAGGATGGCTATCAACGACTCCGCCCAGGTCGACGCCGTGGCTTCCATCGTCAGGTACTATGCGTGGAGAGAAGCCGTCATCATCTATGAAGACACCGATTATGGGAACGGGGTCATCCCTTACCTTATCGACGCCCTGCAAGCGAACAGCATCAGAGTCCCCCACAGGACAGTGATACCCCCTTCGGCAACGGACGACCAGATCAAGGAAGAGCTCCTCAACTTGAAGATGATACAGACGAGGGTGTTCATTGTGCACATGTCTCTGCCTGTCGGCACTCGTGTCTTCTCGAAGGCAAAGGCGATAGGAATGACGACGAAAGGGTTTGCATGGATCGTCACCGATGGCATCGCAAACCTCGTTGACTCTGTCGACCACGAAGTTATCAGCGCCATGCAGGGCTTCGTGGGTGTGAAGCCCTACGTACCCAGAACCGCAGAACTTGAAGCATTCATCCGTCGATGGAAGCGGAAGTATCGCAATGAAAACCCTAAAGCCGAGAGGATCGACCCCTCCATCTTCAGCCTTTGGGCCTACGACTCCGTCAGAGCCCTGGCCTTGGCCGTGGAGAAGGTTGAAGTTAAGAGGTTTTCCTTCGAGAAGCCACGGATCTTTGGCAACTCCACGGATCTAGACGCGCTGATTGTGTCCAAGATGGGTCCGACCATCCTCAAAGCGGTCATTGAGACTAGTTTTACAGGCCTCAGCGGGGAATTCCGTCTGGTCAACGGGCAGCTGCAGAGCTCGGCGTATCAGATAGTCAATGTCGTCGGAAATGGGCAAAAGGGGATAGGCTTCTGGACACCCAAACGTGGGCTGTCACCGCAGTTGGGATCTCCGACCAATAAGGACGAGCTCGGCGCCGTCGTCTGGCCAGGAGATTCCACCTCAGTCCCGAGAGGATGGGAGATCACCACCGGTGGGACAAGGCTCAGGGTTGCTGTCCCGGTGACGGATAGCTTCTTCCAGTTCGTGAGATTTGACGAAGATCCCGTCACCAAGGAGAAAGTACCCACAGGATACTCCATAGAGATCTTCAATAACGTGATGAAGTCCTTGCCCTACTATGTTCCCTTCGACTACTTCCCTTATACGAACAGTAATGGAACCTCTGGGTACTACGACTTGCTCGTGCAGCAAGTCCCCAAAGGGGTGAGTTCATATTTTTTTCTCCTACGTAGACCTGTAGCTAATACATACCATCATCTATTTAAGTTAATCAGTTTGCATCGTGGCTTAAGAGACCCGCAAGGAATCAGACTGTGCTACTCGAATCAAAATCTCAATTAGGGAAGCAACCTCAACCATTTATCCGCGCGTATTACCATGTTGATCAATTTTATAACCTCTGATTGCGAGCTATTAAATCGAATCAATTATTCAGTATCCCTGTTTATTGTAGATGTCCACTCATTTCAACTATTGATTACTTTCGTTAACTGTGAATTTGGTTATCTCTCTCTCTCTCTCTCTCTCTCTCTCTCTCTCTCTCTCTCTCTCCTTCATTCTGGAACCTAATTGTTTCTCGTTGAAATGCATTGGCAATCGCCATTTTATCTCGTGTTGGGGAGTAGGACTACGATGCCGTGGCCGGAGACGTGACGATAATAGCTCATCGGTTCCAGTACGTGGACTTCACCCTGCCGTACACGGAATCAGGGGTCTACATGATCGTTCCCCTCAAAGAAGACAACAAGAGAGGGAGAACATGGGTCTTCATGGAACCATTGACTCACGAGTTATGGCTGTGCAGCCTCTGCTTCTTCCTACTTACCGGTTTCATTATGTGGGGGATCGAGCGTATGAACCAGAACGAGCATTTCACGGGTCCTCCTCTTCAAGTCATCAGCAACGTTCTGTACTTCACATTCTCCACTCTCGTCTTTGCGCACAGTACAGTACACTGATACCTATAAGCCTTCTTCTTCCACGTCTTATCCAAGTCTTCTTTTTCTCTAAAAGCCTTACTCTCCCTCCTCTTCGTCAAGCCTTCTTCTTATAACTTCCAAAGTCTTCTTCAATTCTTCTTCTTGTATCCAGGTCACTTCTTGAGGCCTTCTTCTATCTGTTCTCGTCTTCTAATGATGTTGTCTACAATTTATCCAGGGCAAGAGCTTAAGAGCAGCTTATCAAAGGCCGTGGTAATCGTGTGGCTCTTCGCGGTGCTCATATTGACGTCAACATACACGGCTAGCTTGGCCTCTATTCTGACAGCGGCGAAGCTCGAGCCGGCGTTCAATGACGTGGGCGAGTTGGTGAGGAGCGGGAAGTTCGTAGGGTACAGCAGAGGCTCCTTCCTTGGGGACCTGCTGAAGCCCACCTTCGGCTCCAGGCTGGTTCCCTTGAACGGCCCCGACGACTATGCGTCGGCTCTTACAAACGGCACTGTGAACGCCGTCTTTCATGAGCTCCCATACATCAAGCTCTTCCTCAAAAAATACTGCAAGGGTTACACCATCGTCGGCCCGACTCAGAGGACTGCGGGGCTCGGATTCGTGAGCGGCTTCACTTCTCACCTCTCTCTCTCTCTCTCTAGTTGTCGTCGGCAGAACCCTTCGGTCTTAAATTTTATCCCCCCATGCAGGCCTTCCGGAAGGACTCTCCTCTTCTCTCGGATGTATCGAAGGCGGTGGTTAGCTTGTCTCAGGGCCCGTTCATGGACGACATCGAGAAGCGATGGATGCTGACGAACGATACGAGCCAGTGCCAGCAGCCCGACGCCGGGGGCAACCGCATCACATTGCATAGTCTGCGGGGGTTGTTCCTCGTCACCGGCGTCGTCTCCTCGTTGGCGCTCCTGGTCGCCTGCATCGGAAACCTTCTCGAGGGATACCAAGAACGCCGAGTGAGACCCTCCGAGACAACGCCTGAAGGAGAGGATGAACCGCTGGCCGACGACGAGCAGCCGCCAGTAGGCGTTGGACTGCCCGCAATAGGACCAGGACGAGACAGTGCGGCATTATTACAAGATTCCAGCGAGAGGGGCCCATCCGCCACGGAAATTCTGCGCCTTGACAAGGTCACCCAGGTGTGACCTTTTAAATCGTGGCCTAAATTCCAAGTGTGAATAAGGTTTTAGGCCTTGATCGCCAACATAACTGAATCATGTCTGACACATCCGTAGCTCATTACCATATATGCCTTCAACCAAATAAAGGGAAAATCTACAGAGTAAGCCTTCCTTGCACCTCTCCAAAGAATCGGGAATTCAGTCCTTCAGCGGCTTGAACTGGGCTGCAACCTCAGGAAGGGATGAACCACCCTCATCCTTTTTTGCTGAGAAACGCTGCCTCCAATTCTGAGAAAAGTTTAATCATTTCTCAGATGCGGAGGCAACGAAATGATGGACATAGCAATGAGCTAAAGAAACTTCTTCTCTCCTAATCTGGCTTCGTCACCCAATGTGCTGATTTTGAGGACAAGTTCTCCTAAGCTTACTGAAGAAATGGGCTGGCCCTTGCACGAATTGCTTCATTCGAGTGGCTTCAACAGGCTCAAACAGTGAAAGAACGAATCCCCATAATTCGTTGAATCAGTCACTCATTTGCTGTGCAACCATCGAACCTGGTTTGGTAAGGAAGGATTTGTGGCGCTGTTTTCCGACAGAAATAATTGCGAGTTGAATTCGCCGAAGAAAACTTGTTCCTCCATGTAGCATTACTTCCAGAGTGCCTGGAATTATTTTTTATATTTAAAAGTGAGGCTCACTCAACCATGATGTTGGAACTTTCATCAATCCTATACGTGACATCGACCCCTTCCACGATTAAGTGGTACGTCACTTTATCAGGTAAGAGTGAAGAAGCTCGAGCAGACTCTCTCGATCCTTCGTCTGATTCATTCCCCATGTCTGATTGGACGTCAGAACCTCCGGTTTTCTCCGCTGATGTTGCTTCTGATGGGTTTTCTCCACTGATGTTGCATTATGAGGCCGATTCCCCCCTTGAGAACAATGTGGGTTTCTTGGGGGGGAGTATTGCTGCGATCCTCGCATCAAATGGTCTGTTACAGAAAGGGCGTCAAGGCCGGAGGCAGAGGGAAGGCGACAACAGGATGCCCAAAGCAAGGCAGGGCGTCGAAGAGCTGGACCGGGAGGAAATCACAGAAACCCCCAATTGAAGTCATTGGAGTTACTTATAGGAAATAAAGGAATTCAATATCTTTATAATCGGCTACAGAGAAGCGTGGAGGCAGAGAGGAAGTCTGGAGGCTGATCCCCTCGAATCAGTCATCTACCCCCCATGTTGCTTTGTCATTTGTTGTTCTGCTGCTCGAGTCATCTACCCTGGAATCCGTTATGTTGCTGTCCTAGATCCCCAGAACTAAAGCTCGTCTCATTTTCCTTTCTCCCCTGGTTTTGATCGCACCAGCTCTCTAGTTATGTGTTGAATTCTTGTCGAGGATTGAGAGGGACCTATCAGTTGTCTTGGCGTCCCATTCTTGGGAATCCCCGTCCATATGGTCACCCCCCTAGATATAAATCTCGCGAGATCACAAAGAAGCAGGACCTCGTGGAGAAGCAGGACCTGACTGTGGCCAGGCGTCATCGGGCAAGAACCCGAAGAAGATGACGATGACGACGACGACGATGAAGGTGAAGTCTCCTGCTCGCGGGCCAACGCCTTCCGCAAAGCCTAAGGGGAGAGTTCTCAGCAGACCCTAAAACCCCCGTAATAAAAATTCTTCCAACCCAGAAACCGTGGGAACCGTGAAAACTCGACCCAGCTTCTGCAGAGGCCGCCAAAGAAAACTGTACCTGCTGGGCCCTGATCCTCCCACACCTCTCGGCGGCACCCTTCTCCACAGAAGCCTCAAGCTGCGCCTCCAGCTCCCATACTCGCTCGGCCAAGGCCATGCACCTTCGTCTCCACCGGCGGGGGGCTGCAGATTTTGAAACAGTCCATTTCATTACAGAAAAGCTCTGCTGAATTCCCACCATTCTTTCTCTCCAACGTCCTTTGTTTCATCCTCACCTGAGAATCCAGCCAGCGCAAGCGCGACCACCGCCACCGGCGCGTCTCCGCCGCCGCCGTTCCCAGACACCTGGAGGCGAATCCCCACTTGGCCCAGCTAGAGGGAAATGGGACCATTGGATCAAGCCTACAGTAAATGCTTCAGCCCATTGGACGTTAAATGGGCAGTATCCCCACTTGGCCCCAATAATATCCCTCTTCCCTGTTGCGAGCGGGACCACCGACTGGGAAGAGGACAAAAGGTAATTCTTGAACATTTGAGGGTGCTTGTCAATAGATATCGGGTTTTAGGGTATATCAGAAAAATCTCCCCGGTCTGTGCACGTGATGGCTCGAACGCGTGAGGACCGTTGACCTGGACTCAATCCGCGTGAATTGAACGGCCGAGCGGTCTGGGGTGGCTTCTAATGGGTCCACACGGTGAGGGTCAACCGAGACGACGACCACCACTACATGCCCGTCTGGCCAAGCCTTCAGCAACTCACCTCACACCGATATGACCGTGGGAAGTGGAGAAGGATGTCACGGAGTTGACACGTGGTGTGGACCGATGATGTCCGACGGAACCAAAATGAATCAGGATATTAGTAAATGTACTCAAATCTTCTCTCATTTTTGAGGACACGTCCTGTCCAGTAACTCATCTCGGTGAGAGATCTAGCACTTCAGTTTTCTATTTTAGGGATGGAAGGGAATGTCAACGTTGAAGAACTTATAAGGTGGTTGACCTAGATCAAACAGTTCTTCCGACCATGCAAAGATTCAACAAGGAAAAATATGCATCGAGGAGTTTGCAACGTAGCATCAACTGGTACCCTAATGGCTTGCATCACAAGAAGTAAAATTATCGAGGAAGAAGAGAAAGAGAGAGAGAGAGAGAGAGACGGGGAACAAGCTGACCATTTCACTAAGCCGTACAGAGACAGAGAGAGAAAACCCTGCTGCATTCAAGGCGGCCTCACGGAATACAACAAATATTATTAGGGTTTTTTTCTTTTTTTAATTGTAAACGTTCCCTTCGTTCCTGTCTCGTATTGGTTGGTTCGAGTCTGGTATGAGTGAAACTGTTAGGACAGATCCGAACCGACTATTGGGTCATGCATATAAACATGTACCTGTTTTATTTCTTAAATAACAAAGTTTTTTTATCCAGATTTTCACTCTCATCAACACTCGGGGGCAACGGCTCTCTCCGGCGACGGAGACGCTTACGGCGGCGAGGGCAAGGTCTCTGGCGATCGTGAAGCTTCGACGAATATAAATCGATAAGATGGCGACTCTGGAGAAATTTTTCCACGTTGAGGACTGTCCCATCTGCCATTTTGCAGGTCCGACGAATCTACCATTAAGTTACGTAGGGGTTTCGCCGTTGAATTGTAGTCCAAGGCCGCTAACTCAGAGCTCAAAGCACCCCGATCCCCAATCCTCCCCACCCACCTACCATTATCTTCTGGCCATCTCACCGGAAAACGAAGAGATCTCCTCCATTGTCGTTGAGAAGGCCACAACCTCCTCCTCATTCACCCATGGTAGCTTAGTTCGGCAGTTTCGCTCATCGGAAATAGAATGGAGCGAAGGACTCTGTTTGTTCTCTTCTCCATTCTCCTCGCCGGGACACCGACCCTCGGCCAGCGGGACGACAGTTCGGAAGCCCTCGTCTCTGTGAACGTGGGTGTTATCCTCGACATGGGGACCCTGGTCGGGAAGATGTGCTGGACCAGTATCTCCATGGCCGTCGATGACTTCTACGCCGCCAACCGCAATTTCACAACCCGGCTGGTGCTCCACCTCAGGGATGGCGAGGCCAGTGTCATCAGCGCCGGATCCGCAGGTAGTCTTCTTCGCCCCTCTCACTCTTCCAAGCTTTTCCGTTCACAGCCAGGTTCGCTGCTTCTTACTCAAGTCCTGTTGCTTTTGAAACTGTGTTAACGCAAGTCTCGGAGCTTGAGGACGCACGAATTGAGATTTTACTTACCCAATTAGCCCGTCTGATTAATTATCAATAAATGAAGATTTACGTGTCTCCCGACTATCTTGAGAATAATCTAACGTAATTTTATGTGAGAGAATTCAGCCCTTGGATTACTGCACAAGGAAGGTGTATTAGCAATTTTCGGCCCTCAGAAATCCGCGCAGGCAAGGTTCTTATCTGACATAGCAGACAAAGCTCGGGTCCCATCTATCTCCTTCACAGCAACGAGCCCCCTCATCACGTCTTCAGCTAGGTCTTACTTCGTGAGGATGGCTATCAACGACTCCGCCCAGGTCGACGCCGTGGCTTCCATCGTCAGGTACTATGCGTGGAGAGAAGTTGTCATCATCCATGAGGATACCGATTATGGGAACGGGGTCATCCCTTACCTTATCGACGCCTTGCAAGCGAACAGCATCAGAGTCCCCCACAGGACAGTGATACCCCCTTCGGCAACGGACGACCAGATCAAGGAAGAGCTCCTCAACTTGAAGATGATACAGACGAGGGTGTTCATTGTGCACATGTCTCTGCCTGTCGGCACTCGTGTCTTCTCGAAGGCAAAGGCGATAGGAATGACGACGAAAGGGTTTGCATGGATCGTCACCGATGGCATCGCAAACCTCGTTGACTCTGTCGACCACGAAGTTATCAGCGCCATGCAGGGCTTCGTGGGTGTGAAGCCCTACGTACCCAGAACCGCAGAACTTGAAGCATTCATCCGTCGATGGAAGCGGAAGTATCGCAATGAAAACCCTGAAGCCGAGAGGATCGACCCCTCCATCTTCAGCCTTTGGGCCTACGACTCCGTCAGAGCCCTGGCCTTGGCCGTGGAGAAGGTTGAAGTTAAGAGGTTTTCCTTCGAGAAGCCACGGATCTTTGGCAACTCCACGGATCTAGACGCGCTGATTGTGTCCAAGATGGGTCCGACCATCCTCAAAGCGGTCATTGAGACGAGTTTTACAGGCCTCAGCGGGGAATTCCGTCTGGTCAACGGGCAGCTGCAGAGCTCGGCGTATCAGATAGTCAATGTCGTCGGAAATGGGCAAAAGGGGATAGGCTTCTGGACACCCAAACGTGGGCTGTCACCGCAGTTGGGATCTCCGACCAATAAGGACGAGCTCGGCGCCGTCGTCTGGCCAGGAGATTCCACCTCAGTCCCGAGAGGATGGGAGATCACCACCGGTGGGAGAAGGCTCAGGGTTGCTGTCCCGGTGAAGCATAGCTTCTTCGAATTCGTGAGATTTGACGAAGATCCCGTCACAAAGGAGAATGTACCCACAGGATACTCCATAGAGATCTTCGATAAAGTTATGAAGTCCTTGCCCTACTATGTTCCCTTCGACTACTTCCATTATGCGATCAGGAATGGAGTCTCTGCCTCCTACGACTTGCTCTTACAGCAGGTCCCCGCAGGGGTGGTGAGTTCATATTTTTTTTTGGCATCTAACTAAATAATGCCTACCATCATTCCATCTAAATTAATCATAGAGTGGAAATCTCAACTAGAGAAGTAACCCCATTCATTTATCCGCACCGCTTGACATGTTGATCGATTTTATAACCTCTGATTCCAAGCTAATATATCGAATCAGTTATTTTTTATCCTTGTTTATTTTAGATGTAAATCCAGTTAAACTATTGATTACTTTCGTTAACTGTGAACTTTGTTTTCTCTCTCTCTCTCTCTCTCTCTCTCTCTCTCTCTCTCTCTCTCTCTCTCTCTCTCTCTCTCTCTCTCTCTCTCTCTCTCTCTCTCTCTCTCTCGCTGGCTATTTCTTTATTCTGGAACCGAATGGTTTCTCAATGAAATGAAATGGCAATCACCATTTTATCTCGTGTTGGGGAGTAGGACTATGATGACGTTGCGGGAGACGTGACGATACTGGCTCGTCGGTTCCAGTACGTGGACTTCACCCTGCCGTACACGGAATCAGGGGTCTACATGATCGTTCCCCTCAAAGACGACGACAAGAGGGAGAATCTTGGTCTTCATGGAACCGTTAACGCCCGAGCTGTGGCTGTGCAGTCTCTGCTTCTTCGTCTTTACCGGCTTCATTTTGTGGGGGATCGAGCGGATGCACAACAACGAGCATTTCATGGGTCCTCCTCTTCAAGTTATCAGCAACGTTCTGTACTTCACATTCTCGACGTTCGTCTTTGCGCACAGTACACTACACGCCTTCTCCCACGTCTTTTCCAAGTCTTCTTCTTCTTTCGAAGCCTTATTCTTCCTCCTCTTCAGACGTTCTTCTTCTAAGTTCCAAGTCCTCTTCAATTCTTCTTGTAGTCTCTAAATTTCCATCTTGAGGCCTTCTTCTCACCATTATTCTCGTCTTCAATTTCCCTTGTACCAGTTGTCGTCTTCTAAACATGATGTGTACAATTTATTCAGAGCAAGAACTTAAGAGCAGCTTATCAAAGACCGTGATAATCGTGTGGCTCTTCGCGGTGCTCATACTGACGTCGACCTACACGGCTAGCTTGGCATCTATTCTGACAACGGCGAACCTCAAGCCTGCGTTCAACGACGTGGGCGAGTTGGTCAGAAGCGGGAAGTTCGTAGGGTACAGCAGAGGCTCCTTTCAGATGGACCTGCTGAAGCCGACCTTCGGCTCCAAGCTGATTCCCTTAAGCGGCCCGGATAAGTACGCCTCGGCTCTTACGAAAGGCACTGTGAACGCCGTCTTACATGAGCTCCCATACGTCAAGCTCTTCCTCAAAAAATACTGCAAGGGCTACACCATCATCGGCCCGACTCAAAAGACTCTGGGGTTCGGATTCGTGAGCGTCTTCTCTTCTCACCTTTCTCTCTCTAGTTATCGTCACTGCGATAGAGGGCTCCTCCATGTTACAGCTGAACCTTTCGGTCTGAAAGTTTATCCCCAATGCAGGCCTTTCGGAAGAACTCTCCCCTTCTCTCGGACGTATCGAAGGCGGTGGTTACCTTGATGCAGAGTCCGTTGATGGACGACATCGAGAAGCGGTGGATGCTGACGAACGATACGAGCCAGTGCCCGCAGGCCGATGCCGGCGGCAGCCACATCACATTGCACCGCCTGCGGGGGCTGTTCGTCTTCACCGGTATCATCTCCTCGATGGCGCTGCTGGTCGCCTGCATCGAAAACCTTCTCGGGGGATACCAAAATCCCCGAGTGAGGCCCCCCGAACCAACCCTGGAAGAAGAAGATGAACCGCTGGCCGACGACGAGCAGCCCCCAGTTGACGTCGGACTGCCCGAAATAGGAGGACCAGGGCGAGACAGTGGGGCAAAATTAGAAGATTCCGGCGGGAGGGGCCTATCCATGACCGAAAATTCTGCGACTTCACAAGGACATCGAGAGGTGACTGTTTGAATTGAGGCCTAAATTATCAGTGTGAATAAAGTTTGAGGCCTTGATCGCCAACATAATGAAATCATGTTTGGCACATTTCTAGTCATTACAATGTAAGCCTTCATCGAAATAAAGGGAAAATCTACAGATTAAGTCTTCGTTGCATTTGTCCAAAGAATCGCGAATTCAGTTCTTCAGCGGCTTGAACTGGGCTGGAAAATCAGGAATAAGGAACCCTCGTCATCCTTTTTGCTGAGCAACGCTGCCTCAAATTTGGGGAACTAAATCGATCGTTCTCAGAGGTGGAGACAACAAATTGATGGACATAGAAATGAGTTAAAGAAATTACTGCTCTCATAATCTGGCTTCATCGCCTGATGGACTGTCTTTGAGTATAAGTTCTCACAGCTTCCTGAGAAAATGGGCTGGCTCTTGTACGAATTCAATGAATCGAATGGTTCAACAAGCTTAACAGTGGAAGATCGAATCTCCATAGTTCACTGAATCAGTTATTGATTTTCTGTGCGATCATTGAATGTGGTTTGACAGGGAGAGATTGGTGGCGCTGGTTTTCAACAGAAATAATTCCAGGTCGCCTAAGAAACCTGTTCCCAAATGTAGCACTATGTTCCATAGTGCCTGGAATTATTTTTGATATTTGAAAGTGAGACTCTTAATGAATCCCCAGGCACTGATGGGCCTGCGGCCCAGGTAGACAACGAGCCTACCGATCGGACTGTGGCCCAGATCAACAGTGAGCCTATGACCCAATTTACAGTCTCAAGAAGAAGAGGGACAAAGTCATAGTTACAGGAAGGGAGGGAAAAGATAAAGATGGTCGCAAGGAGGAGAAGGGCTTAGGGTTTTAGGAGGAGGAACTGGCTTGTGCTGAAGGAGAGGAGGGTCCTCTTGAACATACTCTCCAATTTCCAAGGGTTTTCATTGTGGAGCTTATTATCCATCATGGACTATCCAATTCCTTGACTTCTTTAGTATTTTCCTTGCTTTTCATGGATTATGTCTCTTAGTTATGGTTCGTGGTTCCAAGATTCTTATCAACCTGGTATTAGAGCGATTCCAAGAAAATGGCACTGAAGGGTAACGACAACAAGTTTAAAGGCCTGGAAAAGTATATGGATGACATGGAGGAGGGGATGCACCACATACCTTTGAAGGAGGAGGTTCAAATAATGTATAAAAGAAGAGCAACCATAGAGTAGACCATTGAAGCCTTAGCACATAGTGTCACCCAACTTTTACAAAGAATGGAATGAAACATAAAGCCACAACCAAAGGGAACACATTCAACTAAGGAGAAGGCTACTATCGAGTATGTCAGTGCGGGGCAAGTGGGACAAAAAGACCCAACGATGAGGATGTGGAGAGCAATGAAGAGGACTGTCCATATTACAAGGGAGGAAGACAAGTGGAGGTGCCCCCATTCGGAGGAAAAGGTCCTAAGAGTTGGATCTTCTTAGCTGAATTGTATTTTGAGACGCACTACATTTCAGAGAATAACAAGGTGAGATCTGCAAATATGTATTTCAAAGATGAAGCTCTCATTTGGTTTAGGTGGTTTGATATAAGAGAACCCTTCAAGCACTGATAGGACATCAAGTGATGAATCAAAAAAGATTCAAGAACAAGACATCTTTGAGAGACATTCTTGGGTGTCAAGTAGATCAGGACTATCAATGAGTATTAACAAGACTTTGAGCTTCTGTCCTCAGCCATGGAAGCTCTCCCGAAAGATCCAAACCTTCTTCTTCGGAGCTCTAAGAGACGTGGCCAAAACATATAAGAAAAGATCGACGTAGTCGCTCATAGGGACATACACTAGCCTCCCGTCCCCGACGGGAAGTACCCAGGTCGTGTCAAAGTGGCATCGTAACATAAGATCATGCCTGCTTTTAGCTCTATTGATCTCATCTTTTTTGAAAGCAAAGATGTAAAATTGCGGTGTACTCCAGCTTGTGTTTCAATGACGGGTAAGGCGGTCGAGCTACCTGCACCTAGGGATGGGTCTTGTGGATTCTGTTATGGAGCTGATTAAATTCTTTTGTGATAATAAATCCAAAATTTCGTCGACGAAGTTCACAAATCGGCATAAGCTGTACAATGAATCGGCTCAAATATGGGATTCGTCAAAAAAATCCCCTAATCTTTTTCTCGTTCGTTGGTGGCAGCATTTCTATGTTTCCCTTCGCTTTACTCGGATCAACCAGGCTATTAAAGAGATGAAGGTAGTCCTCAAAGTCCCCATAAAACCTATAGTACTAAGGTCGATCAGATTGTGGGTCCAAGGAAGAATTGGCCCCTTTGTGAGTTGAGGGAAAACTAAGACCCCACCTTCCACCACATAATCATATGACATGCACAATCTTCAAGTTTGACTCAACAGAAAGTCATGGTGTTAGTTAAAAGATCCAAGGGGTGAAAAAGTCTTATCTTGACTGAGTCAAAACTCTTGAAATAGCACACAAAGGAACTTTACTTCTTGTCCAATGAAAATTATGCTCTAAGACATAGATGTAGGAAAGAATTGCAATTTGTTTTATAGAAAGAACCAGCTAATGAGATCGTGTCAGAAGAAGAATACTCACAACATAGGAGGCAGTAGAATAGACTCAAGTTAGGTTGTCATGAACTTAATTATGGCCTAACTGAAGCTGAAAAAATGAAGTTAAAAAGACAGATGGGGCTGAAAGAAGTAACTATCCTAATTGATTTTAGGGTGGTCCACAATTTCATCGCACAAGAGCTGGTGGAAAAACTTTAGTTGTCCCTAGAAGCTATGAATTATAGTCATTGTGAAAATTAGTTGGTTGTGAGGGGTGTGAATTTACAAAAGAATTACCCTTGAGATGTAAAGACTATAAATTGTTTAATCTTCCATTATAATTGGAAAGCATGAATTTCTTTTTTTGCTATATAATGAGCAAAGATGTTGGACCCCATGAAGGTTAATTGGTACCAGCTTAAAATGTGGTTTAATGTAAAAGAATCATTGTTAACCTAAGAGGCAACTCAAGCCTCAACTGAACAAGTATATCTCTAAAATCCCTTACTTGTGAGCCCCAACAATGTGTGGAATGCTTAATTGAGCCGCATCTATTAGTAGTAAAAAAAAATCTCAAGGACCTACCACATCTTGACAAGTTACTACAAAAACTCTAATAAGGGTACCTTAAAAGTGTTCATTGAACAAAAACTTCGACTTGAATGAGTAATTGATCATTCTATTTGTTTACATCAAGAACAGCACTCATCAATGCCTAATTCTTAACATACTTCTACTATCAAATCCATGATTGAAAGACTAGTTCAAGACATGTGGCACAAGGATGATTCAACATTCATCGAGCCCCTACTCAAACCCAGATCCTCAACACCATCACCATTTCAAACCATTTTCTCATTCCAACCATAGACAAATTATTAGATTAGCTACTTGGAGCAATGACTTTGTCAAAAGTTGATTTAAAGTGGGGTATTACAACTTCTGTGTGAAGAAGTAAGATATATACAAAACAGCTTTCCAAAAGTATGCAGGCCATTATGAATAACTGGTGATAACGTTTCAATTGAAGAATACTTCAGCAACCTTTTAATATTTGATAAACAGTATCTTTTGTGCTCATCTTAAAATTCGTACTCATATTTTTTTTATGACGTCTTAATTTATAGTAAAGACTTGTCTATATATGAAAGGCATCTACAAGAGGTCCTCAAAATTCTTAAGAGACACCAGCTCCATGTCAACAATCAAAACTGTTGATTTAACAATTACAAGAGTGAAATTTTAGGGGATCTCTTACTGATTGAAGGGGTCGAGGTAGACCAAGAGAAGATATCTACCATGTTGAATTGGCCAATGCCTTCTAACCTTCTCTAACTTCATAGCTTCCTTAGGCTGAGAAGATATTATCAATGATTTGTGACAAATTATGGGGTGATTGTTATACCACTCATGCAGCTGCTCAAGAGAGACTCCTTCCACTAGATACAAGCCACATAAGACTCCTTTCAAAACCCAAGACAATCATTACCACTATTACCACTCCCTAATTTTTCCTCTAATGAAGATATGAGTACTCTTGAAACATGAAGTTAAGAGTCACTCTACAATCCACTAAAATGATAAGATCCTTGACCTTAACCTGCCCCTTCAACTTCATGAAACCTAGTATAGATAGACCAATGACTAAATTAAATGAATTTTCAATATTAGCTTCTTCATATAACATTGTCTATCAGTTAGCTATGATATGATACATTATTCATCTTCTCCCAAGTATCCCTCATCCTCATGAATTAGAAACAATTGTAGTTCCCTTTTACAAATATGTTTAGGCTAAATAATTTCATCACATGAAAAAAGTGCCTATCTTGCAGCTCAGATTCAATAAGAGTTAGTCTCTTCATCATGCTTGCAGACCTTGAGCTGATTTTGGTGCACCTCAATGGGGATGGTCTATCATTGTAGACAAAGGAAGACTCTTGGTCCTTAGTCCTCTTAGATTTACCAAGAATGTTCACCCAAGGATAGATGATTTCTTCATCTTGTAACTCTGATCCCCTAATTTTTTGAGGGTGACATTGTTTTCCTCCACAACTTGAGTTGGATTCATAATTTAACCAAGTCCCTTTAGTTAGAAAACTTTGGCTTCCACCTTGATCTTAGGCCTAAGTCCCTTAGCAAATGTATTTTTCAAGACTTCTTCTAAAATGTCATGAATTGCATTAGGTAACAATTCAAATTCGATATGATGATTTGATATTGTGTCATGTTATTTGAGATCCAACAATTGCTCTGATAATGTTCTTGCTAATGAAGAATCAAATCTCTTTCACTAATGATGTTTAACATCTTCCTAGTCCTTAAAAGTCTCCCTACAATCTGCCCACCCATACCACAGTTCTTCAAAAAATAGGTAGTTGTGGTTTTCATTTTTTTTCTACTACTAATTCCCTATACTTTAAAAAATATTTCCACCCTAAGTATTCAGTTTTCTATGTTTCCTCCTTTAAAATGATGAATGCTTCATTGATGTCCATCCCAATTACTCACAATTAGGCCATTTGAAGGTCTCACGTTGACTTATCTAAGGTCATGTGTCCTACGTTAAATGTTGCCAAAGGAACAACCTATTATATCTACTCCTTTCCTCATTGTCTCTCTAATATCTTATATTAGAGATATTAGTAGTTACATCTATGCATTAATATCTTATATATAGATGTTAATTAATGGATAGATAATACAATTATATGTGTTACCAACTCTTTATGACATTCATAATATTTTATCATTTAAGTCATAATGTATACTATTATATTTATTTTATTTATATTATGAGACTAACCTCACTTGACTTTTATAAAGTCAAGTGGTGATTCTCTCACGTTTTCTTGATACTTATTTAATTACAAGTACTTAAGTGAGCTCTTATTATAAGTTCAAAGTAATGGAAGAAGCCTAAGCCTTTAGTGTAATGAAAAGCCCAAGTCTTATGGAGAGACTCAACCTAATATATTTATGGGCCTAAGAGAGGGCGTCACGTTGATCTAGCCTATTTGGATTTAAAAGGGTTATTAAGAGATAAGATCTAGGTCGTCCATCTTACAATGTCTTAAGATGAGATTAAGAAAAGATTAAAGTGCCACCCTCATGTAATGATCTGGGCTGTTCACCAAAAGAGTCAGTTATTAATCTTAAGTGTCTATTAAAGGGGCCTAACTCTCGAAAGGATTAAGACATCTCACCCCCCTCTTGGAGGACTTTTTTGACTCTCTCTCTAACAGTGGCTAGTCGAAAGAAATAAGAAGAAAATTAAGGCCTAATCAACAGCATTCTCGTGCCCAAGATCATTGTGAAGAAGAGATTACTTGGAGCGCATCAAGATCATCACAGATTGAGCATCACTCAACATAGGACTGGTGCACAACGAAATTTGTGCAAGATTCAGATTTGGGACGTCCTTGTAATTCTCTCCACAGGTAGTTTAACTTTTATCATTTATTTTATCATTTTATTGTGTTAGATTCATTCTCTCTCCTTTGTCACACTTTCTATAACTCTTGTCTTCACCCTTTTACATTTAATTCTGCCCTCCACAATTTCACAGATATATATATATAATAAATAAAATAAGTAGAATTCATACTCTCATTACCCACACTCTCTAAAGATCAACTCTTACTTATCCTAAATAGAAGAGTGAGGTCTTATAAATAGTATTTGCATGAACTTGATTGCATTATGATGACGTATTTAACCTCTAATTTGAGTTCATCAAATTAACATCGTTGTCGAGGAGCTACGTGTCATTGAGATAATAGAATCTTTCTTTATTATTATTATTATTATTTATTATTATTATTATTATTATTATTATCTTTTATTTTTCTTTTATTTTTCTTTTATTTTCTATTATTTTTTCTTTCTTCAACAAATAATTTTTGACCCATCGATTAAGGATTTTTCAAGAAAAATATCACTTTTTACATATACAATTTTGTGAGATTTTTGAGCAACAGGGCACTACCCCACACCCCGTAGGGGATGACTTCCCCCTTGACCCCTTGCCAACTAACCACACAGTTGGATTTGTGATGGCTCACTAAAGGTTAGCATTTCGTATTTTTCTTTTCTATAACCTCTCTTTCATTACGAAAATTCATCAAAGGAGGTCTTCAAAAGGTATATCTCTCACTTGAACCCTTTGATTATTTATGCATGGCACTAGATCTAAGAAGCCAAATTTAGTGGACCTTGATTCAATAGGGAGATTGACTACTTTTGAGGATAGAAGTAATTGTGAAAAGATGGACCCACCACAGAACCAAAGGAATAGAGGTTTACCTCAAAATTATAATGATAGAAGAATGAAAATGAGAGAACATTATAATCCTGTGGGGAGTAAACCAAACACCGAAATCTACTTACCTTTGGGAGAAGGAGTGAGCTTTAAGACAGAAAATATATTTATTAACTTCTTACCTAATTTTCATGGTCTATCTAGTGAAGATCCTTATGCATACCTAGAGGAATTGGTTGAAAAATATTCTTTGAATCAAATTCCAAGAGTCACTAGTGAAATCATGAAGATGAAAGTTTTTCCTTTGACTTAAAAAGATAGAGCTAAGGAATGATTTAGGAATTTGGGAATGAGTTTTGAAAGTTGGGAAGAAATAGAAATTTACTTTCTAAAATAATTTTATTCCCTAGGGAAGACTAACTCATATAGGAGAGCCATACAAACATTCACTCAAGGAGATGATGCATTTGGTGAAGCTTGAGAAAGATTTAAGGATTTGTCTAAGAAGTATCCTCACCATGAGTAAAGTAATTACAATTGATTCAAATTTTTTATGAAAGGTTACATGAAAATGCTAGAAATAGAGTTGAGATCACTTCTAAATAAATATGATGATGACATGGAAGAATTGATTGAATGATTGATTAAAAATGATAGTCCTCACATGGGATTAAGTCAAAATAGGAGAAATGTAAGAACCAAGAGAGGAGTCTTGAATGTAAAAGGTATGGAACCTGAAATTGAGAGAGATATGACCAGCAGGTGTTTAAGAAATGTTGAGGTATCCTTAGAAAAGTTGACTGATATGATGTAAAATTTATTATCTAATCCTACTATTTTACATGTTCATAATACTCCATGCTCTATGTGTTTTAGTAAATGACATGTAGATGGAGAATGCATTGACACCAATGAAGTGAATGTGATGAACCATGCACCACCTCACAACTCATAAAATGGGCAAGGCAATGCAAACTTCAACAAGGAATCTCGACCCCCATTTCAGCCAAGACCTTACTTCTAGTAGTCCCAACCACAGCACATGCCTCAAGATAACTCTAATGAACTTCTTATGCAAATTTTGTAGGAAATTTAAAAAGACCAGTATGAAACAAAAGAAGTAGTGCCATGCATGGTGAGAGATGTAGAGCAGCTCAAGGTTGATGTGGAGAGGTTGAATCAAGTCAACTCTAATGTTGAAATTATGAAAGATAAAGGGAAAGAAGTGGACTACAGTACATATTGATTTGTAACTCAGCCCTATTAACGTGACTTAGTTGTTATATAGTAAATCACATAAATTTAAAATTTATAAAACTAAAAATTACTAATTTTCAGATATTTAGAAGTATTTCTAAAAATATATATTAATTATAATTTAATAAAACTTTCAAAAATAGTGGTAATTTTCTAGGTCAATCATAGGGATGTAATATAATATTGAGTAATTTTTTAAAACTTTTTTCAAAGAATACGAGTTTTTATGAATTTTATACCAAGAAATAAAAATAAAATATATTTAAAATTCACAAAAAAGAGAAATAAGGGTGCAAGCATCAAGATGACGTCAGCGCTCGACGAACGCCAATCGAGCAAAAATAGAGTTCCGCCTGACGATTCTTACGTAAACGATTATAAATGATTTAATTGACCAAATTAAGATCTGCAAAATTCAGAAGAACCATAATTGAATGAAGTATAGCTTGTAAATTTAAATCACACAAGTTATCATTAAATGAAGTGAAAATTATGTTGAAAGTAGGAAAATAGAGTTCTAACATCACGATGACGATGCGTTAGTGATGCACCGGAATCCTGAGCGTTTGAGAGGATCGTCGTGCAGTGTCAACGGCCTCGAAGGCTCTCCTTGGACAAAGACAACATGAGCAATCTCTAGATCTCCTTGTGAAGTCTAGAGATCAATGAAATTGGTCGTTAAATCATCTCTAGCAGCTATCACCTAGTGGAGTAGAAAAACGATGACTTTGTGGCTCTCTAGTGACTGTCACCCAACGGAGAGGAGCTAGATGGAGGTGGAGTGCATGTTAGAGAGCTTCATCCTCAGCTTCGCACAATAATAGAAGGCTCTTCATCGCATCTGATACGCTCTCAAGAAGTGGCAACTCATCTCCCGGTGAATCGTCTTCTTTCTAATGACAGCTTGTTCATCGATCAATCGGAGATGATTTACTTGATGGATTTGTGATCTTTTTATCGCGAATCAT